TATTTATCTTCATTTCATTAGGGTTTTTCTGGGGTTTTATTTTATTCTTTCTTTCATTTGAAACATAATTTTTTGTCTTCTCACTGTGTTTGACTTTCTCTGTTTGTGTCTATGAAATTAGGTATAACAGTTACCTATCCTGGTCTTGAAGGCTTTTCCTAGTGTGGGAATGACCGAATGCAGTCTGTTTGCTCCCAGTGGCCTTGGTGGGAGAGCTGGGTTTGAAGGGAGCACATGCTGCATCTTCTTGCAGAGTGTGCTGGTGACTGTTGCCTTTTTGGGAGGAAGGACTAGAGTCAGAGTAGCTACAGCCAAAGCCAGTGGCAAGCCAGGGCTTCTCCCAGGCTCACTGTTGGTTGCCGCTCTACTGAGTGGCAGAATCAGGGCCCAAGGGGCTAAAGCTGCACCTTCAGCCGGCTCCAGTTTCCCATGTGCACATAATGGTGGTCTCCATGTTAGCAGGGTACAGTGCTAGACCAGGAGGGGTGAAGCAGGAGCCCAGTGCAGGTGAGGGGATCTCACTGAGGCAGTCCTGGCAGGCCAGCCAGAGAACCGGGCAGTTTTCAATCTATTGCCTCTGCACTGGAACTGGGAGCAAGCAAGTCTGTGCACACATTCTTCAAGAAAGGAGTCTTGGCTTCTCAGTCCATGGGACTCATTTTCCCAATGCCAGACCCCAGGGCTGGAGTGCCTAAGATGGGGTTTGAACCCCTCACTCCATAGGAAAGATCCCTGAGCCTGTGATAATCCCCTAAGTCAGCCACTAGGGGTGTGGGTTCCTCTGAGTTGATCTTTTCTCCTCTCCTCCTACCAGACTCCATGTGGCTCTTTCTGTATAGCCTCAGTTGGAAAAGAGCAGCACTGCTGGTCTTCAGGTTGTTCTCAGCAAGAGGTGCTCTATATATAGTAGTTTTGATGTGTTTGTTGGGGGAAGTGATCTCAGGGTCTTCCTACTCTACCATCTTGATTCCCATTCTCAGGACTCAGATTTTCTTCAAAGCCATGAAAATATTTTTGAATCAGGGAGGTGACATATGATTTATACTTTTAATGGTTTTTACTCAGGTTGCAATTAAAATAGACTTGGTGAGTAGAGGTGCATAGTGGATGGATAGGAGCAGATTAAGGCCAATTGGGAGGCTGTTGCAATAATCTATAAGAGATGTTGTTGACTTGGACCAAGGAATTTGGTGGAGGTGGTGATGAAAGATTAGATTCAAAAAAAATTGTTTAGACAGACCCAACATGTGTGCTGGAATAAGAATATATTAAAAAATGGGAGGAGTAAAGGATGACTTTATGGTTTGTGATTAACTGAAGTGGGGTACACAGCAGGAAAGCAGACCTCAAGGGAAATACCATGAGTTCAGTTTTAGACATACCATCTAAGGGGAAACGTCTGGTACTTGGATAAATGGGTCTGGTATACAAGGGTGAGTCTAAAAGGGGTCATCTTCTTATGGTGTATTAGTGGTGGCCCAAAAGCTAGGTCCAGAAATTGTTTCAAGAATTATTTGTGCCAAAGCCCAAGAAGTTCAGGTAAAAGCAGACTGAGAATTGATCATCAGGTTTGGTAAAATGCAGACATCATTAGTGATCTTGGCAAGGGTTATTTAATCAGAGTGATATGAACAAAGCCTGATGAAAGCAAGTGCAAGAGAGGACAAGAGGGAAGAAAGTGGCAAGAAAAATTTCAGGCAACTCTTTCTTGTTAAATAGGGAGCCAAGAAATGAATCTATATTCTAACATTTTTTCTAATTATTTATGTACTATGTAGCTTGGTTAGAAGCCTGAATTCTATGTCTTTATTCAACTTTATGTTGCCAGATTCTAATACTCAGTGAATACTCAGTAAAAAAATAACCAAGTCACATGGGCCACCAAGTGACAATGCACTTTATCTATACGGAAAATACTAAGGGGAAACCCCTGGAGTACTAAACTTATAAAATGAAATACAAAATGTTGACAGCAATGATAGAGTTCTTATCATGTCTAACCTCTGGTAAACACAATACAGTGATGAGCAAATTGCTTTAGGTGACATGTTTTCAAGGCAGGTGTGTCAGTGATGAGGCAGTGTCTAGAAATTGAAGCTTTTCAGGAATTATTTTCTTCCTCTGCTTCTTTGAAGAGTATTAAAAGTACTCTATGGGAGAGTCTGGATGTTAGGGGAGAAAAGAGAATGAAACAAAAAAAAAGTGTACATCAAAGTAAGATAATGTCTCAAATAGACAACTAATATTTTAGAGCATCCTAAACGCCAGGCACTGGGTAGAGCCCTGACCATGTTAACATGGCACGTGGTTACAGGGCAAGCTTGTAGTCCTACAGGGCAAATCACCGAGAAAATTGATATGATTTTAGATATTCTGAAAAGGGAAAAGCAAGATGCTCTGAGACCATAATTTCTGAGGCACCTAATGATCAGGGAGGCTAGACAAAGCTTCCAGCAAAAATGGCAGTTAAGCTGACTCTGAAAGGACGAGTAGGAGTTGGAAGATACTAATCATGCCTTCAGCATGACTCAGCTTCCCATCAGTGCCCATCACTTTCAAAGCCACTGGACTGTTTCTTTTATTACACTTTTCTCTGGTGAAGGGTGTTTATAAAATGTAGTGAGGAAAAAGAAAAACAAAAAAATTCAATGATGACTATATGCTCTCTGAAGAGTTGCACTGATGCTAAAGAAAATAGGACATGCATAATTTTAATGTTACTGTGAAGACAAAGTGAAGTGTGCTATTTCTAATTTAACCATGAGAATCCTTGTTTTTAATCAGTGTATAGTTCTGGTGCCTTTTTGTCTTCACTGACTACTTTTCTTTTTTTCACTCAGGTAGTGTAATCAACTTCCTTTGTGTGATAATCATATGTAATTAATTTTGTAACTTCCGGTCCTGTTACACTGTCAATTGGATATCTATCTCAACTCCTGAAAAAAGTGGATATATGCTAGTTTAAAAAGGGCCTGAGTGCTTTCCTAATTTTGAATGTCATTATTTTACAATACCGTTTTTAAATGCACTAGTGCTTGAGTACTGAATACCTTTTATTCTTTTAAGATGAATTTCAGTGTTATAATGAAAATGTGCTAGCCTTTCTATCACAGTGAATATCTGATATAAAATCATATTATTTATTCCTATTTCTTTGGCAGGATGTCATATGGATTGAAGCCAAAGTTAGTAAATAATATAGTTGAGATTTGAACCCAAGTCTAAATCTTCTGAATCTAAATCCAGTTCTCATTCCAAACGCACAAAGATTGATTCCAATACAGACAGTACTGCCTAGTAGTTAGGAATCCAATTTCTAGAGTCAGACTGCTTTGGTTCAATTTCTGGCCAGACCATTTAATACTATGTAACCAGTGTGTGTGTGTATATATATATATATATATATAATATGTAATTTCTTTTACTGTTATCTAGTAGTGTCCCATATTGGCCACATGTAATCATTTTTATGCAACAAACATACTGATTTATATTGAAAGAATTATCTAAAATCTTAAAAGCACAAATCTTTTCATCATTATTATGAATTTCATAATAGTTTCTCCCTCAGTCCTGTCAGACATATAATGCCATAGATTCACAAATTTCTATATTAAATCTGATCTCCAAAATATTATTAGAGAAAATTTTATATTATCTATTTTTCACCATGATAAAACATTGTAAAAACTTTTAACAAAAAAATGGCATTGATTTTCACATATATAATTGCATATAATATATATTTTTATTTATTTTATATATTTTTATTTTTAACTTCAGTGCTAGATATTGATACATGTAGATTTATAGACTTATTTTAGATGCACTTCAATGGAAATGATCAATCTTTAAATAAAATCTGACAATGTGCCTAGGTGTCTATATAACATCAAACATCAAACGTATGAATGCTAAAAATTTCAAATATATGTATAGTTGTCAACATGATGCCTGGATGCATGGACAAGTGCTGGGAACTATCTCTATGATAGTGTGTCCCACAAATTGTGTCCAAACTCATGATATTGACAAGCACCAAGTATACATTATAAATTTCACCCTTTTGTTCTCATTTTTAATTGTTCAGCTAGGCTTGGCCCTGTGGGAGCCACAAAGATGAGCATGAGAGCTTCCACCATCACAGAAGAGCTAAGAGACACACAAACTCCTGGAACACGTGTACGGCTATAATAAAGCACATGAGACATCAAAGATGTGTCTTGTGCATTTCTTTCTCACAAGGCCATTAAAGAACAGCAGCATCTGAATGAGGCAGTAATAAAAAGGACGAGGACAGAGGATACAGGAAGGCAGCACACAACACAAGGAGAAGGTAAAGGACCCCCTAGAGTGACAGTGAAAGGAGGTCCCAGAACACCAATTCCATACTCACTGCGAGAGATGGAAGCAGTCAAAGGTCTTCAATGTCATCCCCACAGAAAATAAAATATAAAGAGTACTGGTAATGCCTGCACCACGCAATCAGACAACTGGATGAGTTTGGATTAGGTCAGTGATAAGACAACAAAAAATTAAATACCTCCCCTGCCGAAAAAAAAAATAAAGGCAATTATTAACTCCAGGAAAAGTAAAAAGTGTATGCATACGGCTTACCCTGTGATCAATTGTGGATAACATTTACATAATCATCATAATAAAAATATTAAATGCAAATTTCTGTAGGAGGAATAGGAAGGATGCTATGCATGGCAAGGTCAAGGAGAGAAAACAGTCTCATCTTCTATAGTTGGAAGTCAGGAAATAAAGGATAAGCCAAGGAATCAAATAGGAAAATAAACTAAAGGAATAAAATAAAAAAGATGCTGAATAGTACATGCAGTGTAATATTTCTGTAGATTTTTTTTCAAAATGTACAAAACTGAAAATACTCTATTGGTTTGTATATGGTTATAAATGCATGTGCAAAAACATATACAGTTAACTGGGAGGAAAAGCATCCAATTCTATAAATGGTTGCTTCTGTTGAAGGCAAAGAGGGGGTGAGTGGTGTGGATGGTGGTTAAAGAGAATTTGGCTTTATATGTAATTTCTCATTTCTTTAAAAATAAAAAAGACCGGAAACTGGTATGATTAATAGCTGTTGATTCTGGGTGGGGGACATGAAGATTTTATTGTTCTATGAAGTTTATTTTTTTATTTATTAAAGTAAAAATTATGGTGTTTTTAAATGAGAGAGAGGGAGAATCAGAACTGAGAACTGGAATTTTGCTGAATGAAAAGCAAACAAAGAAAAGGTCCTTGGTGTGTGTGGACCTGGGCAAAAGTTGTGCATCAATTGAGAAGATACAAGTGAACAAGCCAGGCTGCGTTCTCCTGTTGAGTCTAGTCAACAATCATGTATGTTATAAAGCTCTTTTCTGTCTCAAGGTCTTTGCACATCAAAACTCATGTTCTCCACTGCACATCCCACCCCTGAAGACACACTCACACCCACACATCCAGCCAATTCTCACTCATCTCTCAGATCCCGATTTAAATACCACTTCCTGGAAAAGTGTCCCTGACCCCACCACCACCCAGCAAGTCAGTCATTGCAATTCACTTCTGTTTGTTTGTTCATTCTCTTTCTCCCTCACTAGAGTCTGCACCCCATGAGGGAGTTTTCCCAGTTGCTCCAATCAAAACCCTTGAAGTCACACTTGCCTTCTTTCTTTCCATCACCATCCATATTCTACTGTCAGAAATCCTATTGACTCCACCTCAAAAGATATACAGAATCTAAAGAAGAGGTGGTACATATATATATACAATGGAACACTACTCAGCCATAAAAAAGAATAAAATAATGCCATTTGCAGCAATGTGGATGGACCTGAAGATTGTTATTCTAAGTGAAGTGGGCCAGGAAAGAGAAAGAATGCCATATGACATAATTTTTAAGAGGAATCTAAAAAATAATAACAATAATAATAAGGGCACAAATGAGCAACTTATTATTTTGATTTCTTGAACATGTGTCAGCACATTTGACTGTCCTTTATGATTGGACTACTACATTCTGTTGAGTCTTATTTTGTAGTTGGCTTTAGTCCTTTGATAACTATGTAAGTTTAAAAAGCTAAAGCTCTAATCTGTTCTTAGAAGCAATAATCAGTAAATATATGTCAACTAAAAAAATGTGCAGTATACTGTATATATGTACTTATATGCAATATAATGTGTGTGTGCAGTCAAACTATAATAATCCTACTTAATAAAACTGAAAAAGAAAAAAATTAAAAAGATGTAGCACCAAAAGGGAAATAGATATATAAATAAATAATGCAACTTAAAAAAAAAAAGATATCCAGAATCTGCCCCCTTCTCATCACTTTTATCACAACAAAGGTCATCTAAGCCACCAGCTCTGTCCCCTGATGAGGCAGCCATCTGCTGCCACTACAGTCTCCTCGAGACCTTCCTCCATCAAGAAGCCAGGGGAATCTTTTGGAACCAAAAGTCAGAAGTGCCACTTCTCCACTTCCAGACTCTCACAGAATGAAAAGCAGAGCGCCTCCCTTGGGCCAAGAGGCCCCGTGGGAACTGCCCCTTACTCTCTGTTCTTTCTCTCCAGCCTCCGCCATCCACAGTGTCCCAGCACTTAGCCCTGGTTCTTGGCCTCCCTACTGTCTGCCGCCTCTCTCCTCACAGCCGCCCACAGTGCCTGCCTCACTCATCCAGCTTTCTACCCTGGAGTCATGTTTCAGACACCTTCCCACAGTCCCTTCATCCTGCTTTGTTTGTCTTCAAAGTTCGTATCGCTACCTGATGTATTTTATAATTGGTTGTAAATAGGCCAGTTATCCACTTTTGATGATCAGGGTGCATTATCTCTACGGGGGCAAGGCCTTTTTTGACCCCTCTGGCTGTATTCCCAGTGCCTGGAACACAACCTGGCATGTAACATAAACTTCAAAAATAGTTGTTGAAATACCTTTTTAACTGAACGAGAAGAAAATACCTTGTCTCCTTTAGTAGAACTTACACTCAGGAGAAGACTGCTTGGAACACAACAGACTCTCAATAAATATTTTTGTTTGTTTGTTTTTATTGAAATATAGTCAGTTTCCAATATTGCATCAATTTCTGGTGTAAAGCATGATATGTCAGGCATCCATATACACACATGTTCGTTTTCATATTCTTTTACCTTATAGGTTACTCAACTAATACTTCTGAATGAATGAAGCTAATGTTAACGTAGAACATGCGTGAGAAAGAGCTTTTCCCTCCATCGGGATTAGCTGCCAATGATGGTCAGTTATTCTGATGGTGAAAAATATAAGAGAACTACAAGAAAGGGACAGAGGGTGTTGGGTGGCATTAGAGAATGAATATAAAAGAATGAAATCATCTAGGGAGAGGAAAAGAGTGCATAAAATTTCGGAAAGGACCTAACATTTATTGTTACCGTTATACTCAGTGTATTCCAGACACAGCAGTAGACCCATAGAAACATATATTATCCTTAATTCTCATAGCTCTTTGTTGGGACCTATTTTACAGAGAAAGAAACAGACTCAGACAAGTTGATTAATTAAAGTAAGGTTACAGATCTAACAATGGGAGCCTCTCAGACCAGTGAGCTGTTCAAAAACCAGCCTTGGAAACCTCTGTGTGCACAGGCTTCACCCTTTTTAAAAGGATTTTCAGCCCCCACAACATTTTGTACTCAATAAGCGTGCATTAAATATGTGTTGAATGAATGAAAGATTCCATCACAGAAAATATTCTGAAGGTAGATAGAAACCCAAAAGGAAAAGAAAAATTAGGTTGATAGTGAGTTTTAGCTTCTATTCTTTCAAAACCAAAATATACTTGGTAGGAAAATAAGAAAATAATACTTGCCAAAAGATTAATTGAGAATGTGGTCTAATCATCTTACAGAGCGTTAAGCCAACCTAAACAGAAAGGTATTTTCAGCTTTGGGGGGTTGTTCTTATGCATGCAGAATTATAAATGGCCTAATTTTCCCTATATCTCCATAATTAACAGAATAATTATTGATCAGCACAAAGCACACCATCCCTGGAGGCATGATTTGTGTGAGCGCTGAGCTTTTTGAAAGCTTAAATCACTGCAGTCAGTATTAAAAAGAAATGAATTGATAGTAAATGTGGTATAATTAATCCACCTTTTCTATTTGCACATGAACATCTTTTCATGCTAAATATCTCATTCATTTAGGAGAGAATACAAATGTATTACAATGACAGAATAAAAAATAAATTGGAACTTCTATTTCCCCTGTGACACTCCTTGTTTTCCATTTACTCAGATTTCTCATAAAATGTGCACGTTGAAAATATTTCTCAACTTTTATCTGCAAATTACAGGTGCAAGGAACTGGCCACGCAGAGGACTCAGGTGACAGTCTGAATCCCCTGGAAAGGACGCTTGCTCGTGCTGGGCTTTTGGCCCTCTTGGTTCTCCAGGCTTCTCTGCTCTGCTCGGGATCACCTGACTGTCACCTGGAGGCTGCATGTGCAGGTCCCTTGCCAGCAGGTTCCGTATTGGGGCTTAGACAATAGGAGGTGCCGGTGGGAGGCTGGCAGGAAGAAAGAAGCCAGGATGTCTGCCCATCCCTCTCTGCCCAGGTGGTCTCAGGACTGCAGCATCACTTGTCACCCCTTTGTGCCTCCAGCTGACTACAGACAGACCGCCAGGTGACTTTGGCCCCTGAGCTCTAACAACACTGTCTCCCTTTGTGCTCTGGTCCGGGGGTAACAGTGACTTCTCGTTGCTAATCTCTGGGTTGCTTCATACTATCACCTGTTGTCTTCACAGCTCTTCATTTCCTGTGTAACCAATTCTGGCATTAAACTTCCTCTCTTCTGAATATATAATAAGCAATTAGTGTTTCTCTGATTATCCCCAGTTGACACAATATCCTGAAGATGAGGGACTTAGTTTGCCTTGTTTATTATCATATCCGAGAACCTAGGAAAGTGCTGGGTATGTATTATGTAATCAATGAGCAGATACTAAATGAATGAATGGAAAATACGTCCTTTAGTCCAGTGGTTCTCAAACTTATCAGACATTGAAACTGCCTACAGGGATTTTTGTTTGTTTATTTGTTTGGTTTGTTTTTTGGGGGAGAGTGTATTATGTTTGTTTGTTTATTCATTGATTGATTGATTGATTGACTTTAGAGGAGGTACCAGGGATTGAACCCAGGACTTTGTGCAGGCTAAGTGTGCACCCTGCCACTGAGCTATACCCTCCCCATCTAGAGCGAATTTTATCACACAGATTGCTATCCCTTTACATCCCCCACTCCCCAAGTTTCTGATTCAGTAGGTTTAGGATGAAGTTCCAAAAAACACATTTCTAACAAGTTCCCAAGTGACACTGATGTTACTGGTCCTGGGACCACACTTTGAGAACCACTGCTCTAGACCACGAAGTACCCTGCCTATAATCTAACTTGAATATGCACACTGGAGTCAACATCTACGTCAAAGAGCACTAACACTGCACATTTAAAGGTGAGCTGGCATTCATCTTCAATTATTGTAACCATACTAAATATTTGATGTGAAAAGAAAACGTTCTCACATCTTCCTAAGCTTTTATCAGGAGTGGTTATTACTAATCAATTAAGCCCTTTCAAAAATTTTTGTTTTAATTTTTTTACTTGCTCCTTATTTTTAAAAAAAGTCAATTTCTGAAAAGAAATGGCCAGTCTTCATAAAGTAGATTATTACTAAGTTCAGGACTCTTGTTCTTTTATTTTCTATAGAGAGCACCAGGAAAATAAGTTTTCGAATTAATACTTAGAAATTCAACAGTTCTCAGGGGTGTGGCCAAGGTGCGGAGTAGAAAGACCCTGAGCCCACATGCTCACATGGGCACACCAAGATTGCAACTAACTAAACAGCAATTGTCTGTGAGACTAACCAGAAGAGTGGCAGGGAAGATTTAAAGTAGGAGGGGAGGGGAAGCAGTCTAGTCAAGACCCGCACCCCTGGCGAGGCAACCCACAAATGAGAAGATAATCAGAATTACAGAGGTTCTCCCCTAGGAGCGAGGGGTCTGAACCCCCCACTGAGCCCCCAGCCCGGGGATCCTGCACCAGGAACACAATTCCCCAGGCCGTCTGACATCGAAGGCCATGGGGCTGGCACACAGTGGACCCGGGGGGCTGAGGACGCAGAGACATCACACTTGAAGGACCCACGCAAACTCTCACGCGCTCTTAGTCCCAGTGCAGAAGCGGTCATTTTAAAGGAGCCTGGGTCAGTCCCACTTTCTAATCCCGAAGAGCCTCCTGGAGACACAAAAGGCAACTGGGACTCAGCCTGGGACACAGGCACTGGGGGCGGCCATTTGGGGCAGCTTGTTCAGCCCTTGTGGTGTTCTCTCTGCAGCCTGTTAGTTTGCGGAGTTTGCTGCTTCCAGAGGCTGGCACTGGTCACAGACCTCGTTGCATCCCACAGCTAACCTCCCTGGGCCCCAGCCCTGTCAGCCAGTGGACCAGAAGCCACTGCAGAAGGCGGGACCTGGCATCCAGCTAGGCTTGGAACAAGCTCCATCTTCCAGTTTGCCCGCAGTAGACAATCACACTACAGCAGAAAGGCCCACACAGTCCCCATCACTGGAGCATTTAGCTCTGGTGACCAGGACATATGCTTCTGGGTCCCATAGGATGTCTCCTACATCAGGCTACTTCTCCAGGATCAGGAAATGTACCAACCTGCTTAGTACATAGATATAAACACAGAGAATCAGGCAAAATGAGGGGAGAGGGGAATATGTTCCAAATGAAGGAACAAGACAAAACCCCAGAAGAAGAACCAAGCAAAGAAGACATAAGCAAGCTACCCAATAATGAGTCCAAGGTAACAACCACAAAGATGTTCAACAAACTCAGAAGAAGAATGGATAAACACAGTGAAACTTAATAAAGAGAAAACAGAATGAAGAACCAAACAGAATGGATGAACACAACTGAAAATAAAAATACACTGGAAGGAATCAACAGTAGACTAGATGATGCAGAGGAACAGAACAGCAAGTCCCTGGGGAGATCTGTCTCTCCTCCCTGCCCATCACGGAATCTGAGATCATTGACTTTTTCCTGCAGGCATCCCTGAAGGACGAGGTTTTGAAGATTATGCCTGTGCAAAAGCAGACCTGTGCTGGCCAGCAGACCAGGCTCAAGGCATTTGTCACCATTGGGGATTATAAGGGACATGTTGGTTTGGGTGTTAAGTGCTCCAAGGAGGTAACCTCTGCCATCCGGGGGGCCATCATCCTGGCCAAGCTCTCCATCTCCCCATGTGGCAAGGCTACAAGGGGAATAAGATCGGTAAATCCCACACCATCCCTTGCAAGGTGACTGGCTGCTGCAGTCCCATGCTGGTGCGCCTCATCCCTGCCCCCAGGGGCAGTGGCATCGTCTCAGCCCCGGGGCTCAAGAGGCTGCTGCTGATGGCCAATACTGATGACTGCTACACTTCTGCCAGGGGCTGCACTGCCACCCTGGGCAGCTTCACCAAGGCCACCTCTGATGCCGTCTCCAAGACCTACAGCCATCTCACCCCTGATCTCTGGAAAGGGACAGTATTCACCAAGTCCCAGTATCAGGCATTCACTGACCATCTCATAAAGGCCCACACCAGAGTTTCCGTGCAGAGGACCCAGCTGGGCTCCAGCCCGGGCCACGGAATAGTTTTATATGCTAAAAATAAAGTGAACAAAGCCTGTTTAAAAAAAAATTTCTAGTGTACAGCATAGTGATTTAGTTATACACATATAAATACATATTCCTTTTCATATTTTTTTATTATAGGCTATTACGAGCTATTGAATACAGCTCCCTGTGCTGCATGGCAGGGTCTTGTTTACCTGTTTTATATAGAGCAGTCAGTGTCTGCAAATCCCACACTCCCAGTTTATCGCTCTACCTCCCCCTTCCCCCTTTGGAAACCACAAGTTCATTTTCTATGTCTGTGAGTCTGTCTCTGTTTTGTAAATAAGTTCATTTGTCTCATTATTTTAGATTCCACATATGAGCGATCTCATATGGTATTTTTCTCTCTCTGTCTGGCTTACTTCACTTAGTATGATAATCTCTAAGTCCATCCATGTTGTTGCAAATGGCATTATTTTACTCTTTTTTATGGCTGATTACTATTCCACTGTGTGTGTCTGTGTGTGTCACATCCTCTTAATCCAGTCATCTGTTGATGGACATTTAAGTTGCTTCCACGTCTTGGCTATTGTATATAATGCTACTATGAACATTCGGGTGTGTGTATCTTTTCACATTAGAGATCTCTCCAGATATATGCCC